ATATATAACATATTCTTTCTGCAGTAAGTAATTTTAGAATATGAACCTCATCATGTCTTTGATTCAGGCACACTGCTTTTATGGATACATGCTTTATCTAAAAAAACTGTTGTTTTTGTTTTTTTGTAAATGCATGTAACCAGATGAGTAATAAAAGTGAAATATATAACATATTCTTTAGTATTTGAAAGATTAGTATCTTACATTACTCAGATTGGGCCCAAATATTTAAACTAAACACATACCTTAAGCTTTAAGAAAAAGGCAGAAGAGAGAAGAAAAAGAGAGAAGGCAGTGAATTTCTGTGGCACCCAGGACAGGTCAGTCAGTCTGTTTGTCAGTCAGGCATTCATTACTGACGCTAGTCATGAGTCCGGTGCTCTGGGCTCTGGGCAGTCACACTCAGGGACCCAGTCACAGGCCTTGCTGCCCCGAAACTCCCAGGCTGCAGGCATCACTGCTGGGATTTCCAAGGTTCAAAGAGGTTATGTCACTTGCTCAAGCTCAAGGAGGAATGTAGACAGGAAGACAGGACCAGAGGAACGTGTACCTCACCGCAGCTGTCCTCAAGAGCTGTGTGGGGACTTATGTCATTTATTCCATAATACTTTGAGCCCAGGAAGAGTTCATGAAGTCTCAATAGGTTAAGTCCCAAATTCACTGCAGGACTGAGTCCAGAATAAATCATGTTATTTTATGGTTCCATCACATGTATCTACTTAATGTGAGGCCAGAAGGCATTTTCCCATTACTGCTCACAGAGGACTGCTTCCCTTTTGTTGTATCCATCTTTGCTCTTCACTAGTTTAGCAAGAAGAAGCATGGCCCTCTAGAAAGGGGCCTATCCTTTTCCTGCTAAATGTCACTGGGTGTGTCCTCCATCAATCTGAACAATAATCCACCAATCAATTTCCAGTATTGCTTAATAATAAATGTGACCAATAAGCATTATAATAGGAAAGATGACTATTTTGTAGCAGTTTTAGAAAACTATTGGGAAATAAAAATATCTTGAGGAGGACTAGTAAAATATAATGTCTGAAATATAACTTTCATCAGTCATTAATTAATATTACCATGAATGTTTTCTCTCTTCACCTTAATTCTAAAGTGACACCAGACTCCAGGGTCTCTCCACCAATAATCAAGTCTGTGGAATGAGCACCGGCTGAATCAAACGCAGCAGCAATTTCATGAAGTCTTAGAGATGATAAAAGGGTCTCACATTCTCTTAAAATTAATGACAGTAAGTGAAATAATAATAGCTAGCATTTTACAAAGTGAAAATATAAAGAAAATATGTACAGTCTCAACAAGCTATGTGTGTCTTCCTAAGGAAAATATCTGTGACCTTCATTAGACAGGACCAAATATGTGACCAAAAGTAAGTCACTTGTCCAAACCAAAGAATGGAAAGTAATGTGCTATTTTTTCAGGCTAATTGATTCACTAATTTATAATAATAAAAGCGTAATATGCTAATTAGACCGGACAGCAAAACAACCTTCCAGATGTCCTTCCGGATGACCTCTGAACGAAGCCAGGGCTGCGAGAGCCAAGGCAGCCACTGAGGCTGTGAGGGACAAGCCCCTTGCATGAATTTCGTGCATCGGGCCTCTAGTCATTTCACAATTACTTACTGAGCACCTACTCACTAGGCACCAAACACAAGAGACACAATAAACAAGAGAGACACATCACTGCCTCTAAAAGGCTTATAGCCAAGGAAGGAGATCACTGAAAAATACTTACAAAAAATATGAGTATAAACAGTGACAATGGGATGAATGAAAAATTATGGTCTATTTGGAGAATGAACAAAAGTAACTGATATTTGAATACTGACTCTGTGAAAAGTGACATATTACTAATACTAATAATTATACTGTGGTTTCTGTTGCTTCCAATGTCTTTTTTAAATATACTTTTATTGTTTTCAAAAAAGAAGGGAGAGGAAAAGAGAGATAGAAACATCAATAATGAGAGAGAATCATTGATCGGCTGCCTCCTGCACACCCCACATTGGGGATCGAGCCTGCAATCTGGGCATATGACCTGACTAGGATTCAAACCATGACCTCCTGGGTCATAGTTTGATGCTCAACCACTGAGCCATGCCAGCTGGGCTGCTTCCAATGTCTTGCAATTAAAAAGGCTTTAATGTTTTAAGACTTTGCACATCATCCTGTTATAACTTCAGAGAAATGCAGAAATTGAGATGCTCATGAGCAAGTATTAATAAAGAGCTAGAGCCAAAGAGGCAGGGCATGTAAATAGAAAACAAAAAGCAATTTGACTTGGCAGGACTTCAGCAAAATGAAATAGGAAAACAGAGTTAAGACTGGAAAGGAAAAAAGAGCCCAGGAAAAAAGCCTTGAAGACCAGTCCAAAGTTTCCTGATCTTTTCAGTGGGGAGAAGGGAACTCTAAAGAAGTTTGAGAAGGCTGGTATTTCTGGGAGATTATTTTAGGAGTGGGAAAATACAGGTTGTCCTCAAAACATGTATACACACTTTAACAACTGAAAGCTCAATTGATGTTTCTTTCTTTTCAGCCAGACTAAGCTGTGAACAAAGGAAATAAGCCAGTCAGAGAAAGACAAGTATCACATGATCTCACTCATATGTGGAATCAAAAGAACAAAATTAACTGATGAACAAAATAGATCCAGAGACATAGAAGCATGGAACAGTCTAATGAATTGCAGTGGGAAGGCTGGGGTGGGTGGGTGTAGGGGGAAGAGTTTAACCAAAGAACTCATAAGCATACTAGAGGCCCAGTGCACGAAATTCATGCACTTGAGGGGGTGGTGTCCCTCAGCCCAGCCTGCACCCTCTCCAAACTGGGACCCTTCAGGGGATGTCTGACTTTTGGTTTAAACCGACAGTCGGATATCCCTCTCACAATTCAGGACTGCTGGCTCCCAACTGCTCGCCTGCCTGCCTGCCTGATTGCCCCTAACCGCTTCTGCCTACCAGCCTCATCACCCCTTAACCACTCCCCTGCCAGCCTGATTGATGCCTAACTGCTCCCCTGCTGGCCCAATCGCCCCCAACTTCCCTCCCCTGCCAGCCTGGTCACCCCCAACTACCCTCTCCTGCCGGCCTGGTTGCCCCCAACTGCCCTCCCCTGCTGGCCCGGTCGCCCCCAACTGCCCTCCCCTGCTGGCCATCTTGTGGCTGTGGGAACAGCCATCTTTGAGGGCAGGGCAGTCAATTAGCAAATTCCCTCCTTATTGGCTGTGGGTGCCGCCATCTTTGCGAAGGTGTGAGGGTCAATTAGCATATTCCCTCTTTATTAGATAGGATAGGCATAACCCATAGATTATAGACAATGGTGTGATGAAGGCCTGGGGGACAGGGGCAGGAGCTGGCTGGAAGGGGTAAATGGGGACAAGGGGGACATGTGTAATAGTTTCAATAATAAAGATAAATTTAAAAAAAACAGAAATTCATCCTAAAATGCTACTGGAAGTTTGAAAACACAGTTGAAGTACAAACACTGCCTTTATAATCATTCAAAGTATATACTAGTATACATTTTGGGGGGACAGCGGGAGTCCCCCCAAAATATATACACACTTTAACAGCTGACAACTAACTTAATTTTCTTTCCTTTTCAGGTTTAAATGATTTGAATATTGGGTGAAGCCAGACTAAGGTTTGAACAAAGAGTATTTATCCACTAGACCAGTGATTCCCAAAGTGGGCGCTACCACCCCCTGGTGGGCGCTGCAGCGATCCAGGGGGGCGGTGATGGCCACAGGTGCATTTGGGGGTGATGAGTAACTGCTATTAAAATTTAAAAAAAATTAATTTCCAGGGGCTGAGTAATATTTTTTCTGGAAAGGGGGCGGTAGGCCAAATAAGTTTGGGAACCACTGCACTAGACTTTGTTATGGGGATACATAAAAGATAAAGTTTACGATACAAAACTGGCAATAGTTGACAAATTGGGGGCAAAAAATACCGAACAAAATGATTCTTGATGTTTGTGATATCATTGCTTCACATTATCAGCAGTGCCTGGACCAGAACATTCATAAGTTTGAAAATAGGCATTAACAAAAAATTATTCATTTCGTTAAGATTATTTTAAATTTTGAAAATGAACTGTATATTGATAAACACTGGCTTTATAATCATTCAAAATGTGTGTACATTTTGGGAGACATCCTATATATAAAGAAATAATAAAGAGAAACAATGCGTATGGATATCATTTAAGGGACTATCACAATAATTGGTCAATAAGGGTGTGGGTTACTAATGTATCAATGGGACTGAAAAGAAGAGGTAGGAATATGCTTTACAGAGGACTAAGAATTTGTATGAGCTAGTCACTGACTAGATACAGGAGACAACCCGTTGAGCATTCGAGTCCAAGATTTCAAAGGGAACAATTGAGCTTTTAGCATACAGTAGGATGGACAATGAGTGATTTTGAACCCACTGGTTTGAGGTACTGGTGGTACAGAAAGTCCAAGATTTCAAAGGGAACAACTGAGCTATTAGCATACAGTAGGATGGACAATGAGTTTGATTTTGAACCCACTGGTTTGAGGTACTGGTGGTACATGTAGCTGAAGCTCACCAGAAAGGGGAGGACTAGAAACACAGGTTTGTATCCTCTTAGAAGTGACTATTAATGTTGGAAGGATATGCAAAAGAGCACAGAGAAAACTGTTGAAGGCAGAACCTCAGGGGAACCTTAAACTGAGTGGGGGTGGAAGATGTCAGGGACAAGCCTTATCCTCTGCTCATGATGCTGAGCCATATAATCAGGTGGGAACAACATGGAATTCTAAATAACTTTTTAGGACTTAATTTATATAAGATATTTCATCAAAGAGGTTTTTCCTTAATCTTACCTCAGTGTATGCGCTATAATTTTGTAAGAAGATAACAAATTAATAATTATATCACAATGCACATCACATTGTTTTCTAAATCTTGGCAAGGCTGACATAAGGACCCAGATAAGGAGTTATGGATTACATACCTGTGGTACCCATTTGGAAGACACAAAGCTGGTCACTTCTATTACAGACAAGCCAGTTTGAGAAAGTTGATTGATAAATTCAATTTTTATATCTGTAGGAACTATAACCTAGGAAAACATTGAAAGTTATTTTATAATTAATGTGTATAGGGTCTGTTGAAACATAAATAGAAAATTACTTCTTAACTGAAGGCAAATCCTAGTTAAGATTTATAAATTCAACTAGCAATGAGAACAAATATTATATTGTAGCATATGAAATATTAAGTCTTTAGAGTTTTAAAAAATATGAATATTTAATTTATCATTTAAGATAAATTGTGCAAAAGTGATATCAAGCTACCTTTTCATTCTGCAATCCATCGCGAGGTCCAACTTCTACTATTTTAACATACTCGGGGAGTCCAGATAACGGGGATGCTTCCTGTAATGGAAAATACAAGGCAAGGAAAACAGACAACCATTAAACCATTAAACTTGCTGATTAGAAAAGTCAAACTATTACAATTTGTAAAATTAAATTCTCACCCCAGAATTTTAAAATGGTAAGAAATCAATGCAATAATACTACATAATCCAAATACCAATTTAATGTTATTGGCAAAATGAGGTGTGTTTTTTTTTATAACTTCATGATATTCAACCTAATTATGATAAAATTCAAAGATTAATTGCTAAGATACACATGGAAATGGTGATTTACTTGGGATCCAAAAAGCAAACCTATTGAGTAATTCTACATGTGATGATAAACTAACCATTGTTAGCGTTCATGGAAAAATTAGGTGTTTGTATTAATAGACTTCTACCAAGCAGTCATACAAGATGGTGTCCTCTATCCCCTGGTACTTGAGGAATGTGGAGTTGGTATTCCGGCTTGTGCTTGAAAACCGGAGGCTAGAAATGAAGGTGTCCTTTTTCTTTTTTGTATCACATAGCACAACCAGCACCTAAACACAGAACCACCAGCCCAGTAGGACCTAGCGCTTGACATCGCACTGGAAACAGCCGAGCTCCAGCCCAACATAACACCCTGTCCTACCTTTCTGCCAAATCTGAAATGGCAAGAGGGTCTGGACTCTGGAGCCTGTGTCCCTAAACTAAGTAGTATGGACACACCTATTTAGGACACTAGTTTAAAATAGAAAAAATAGGAACAGCCTTTCTAAATGTCACATTGCAATTAAAATTAGAAGTAGACTACACCTTCTCAGACCGTACCAGCACAATGTCCTGGTATCTCTGAGCCGAGTTAAGTCTGGGTAACTCATTATCAAGTTCTTCACAGGGATAGCTGATGGAATCAACCTAATCAGCAGGACCTGTACTTCAAGGCTTTGTAAATTTAGGTCAACCAATTTATAGTTTCACCCTGTCCTTGTAACATGGAAACAGACTAGTGAAGTGACAGTTTAGCATGCAAAATCCAGTTTGTTTCTATAGAAAAATGCTCACCGGCTCTTTTAGAGTCCAAAGCAGTTATTCGGTTTTATTAGCATCCTCTTCTAACTAACTCAGTAGAAGAACCCAGATGCTTCCTGTTACAATGTTTACATACCACCCTCCACCATTTCCATGAACTTGGGCAATTCAATATGCAAAAATTAACCAAGAAGAAAACAGAATTCTCATGTCTGCATCTTCTGAGCAGATTGTGATGCACGCGGTTAACTTGGAGGGTGGAGGGTGGACAGGGGAAGTATGGCCGTCCTGAGCTTTAGGCTCAGTCTGGGATAGCAGTCATGAAATCATGCTTCATTTCCAGAGTGGCCATCATTTCAACCAGGCAATAAAGGACAGGCATGGATGGCATAGAAAAGTGGAGTCAATAAAGAGAACCTCACTCCTCTTTCTTATTACCTCCAGTCCTAGAACTGCAAAAGATGAAAAAAGCAAACAAAACAGAACTAGGTAATCTTAAGCCATGTGGTGTCATTATTGCTGATTGTAAACTCAAGCTGTATTTGCAACAGCAATTAGCTCGGAGCATACATGGAAGAAGAATACTCCTTTATAAAACAGCAACGTTTAACCAGAAAGAAAAGGAAACTATGTTTTTTAAGCTGATAGCAATATGATGTGTACAATTAAAGAGCTTGAGACTTTCCAATACATCATTGTTGTAGCTAGCAGAAGTAACAAGCAATCTGAAGAAATTACAGACACCACCAATGATAGCCATTTCAGTCAAAGCAGAATATATGCTCACTTAATATTATTTTAGATTTCTTCTTGAATCTAATGCTACTATTACATCTTTCAGCTATGGGTACTTATTAACTCTACCTGAATACCTGAGAAATCAGAAAAAAGTCAAAATGTGTTCAGTAAATCAAAGAGTAACAACTTTTCCTTTTTAACAGAAAAATAAATAACACAAAAGTCAATTAACACATACTCACTGAATATGTGTAATGTGGGAGCCCCATCTTGGTGATCTTTAGTCTCTTCCTTGGCATTACCAACTCTGTACTGACTTTTCTAAGGAGACACAGCTATACATAAACAATACGTGCTTGGCATATCCACCTAAGTGTTGTACAAACTCACGGAATTCAATAACTTAAACCTGATCCCATTATTTTCCTACCTCAAGCCTCTCCTCAGACATTCCCCCACCACATACTATTCTTTTTTTTTAAATATATTTTATTGATTTTTTTACAGAGAGGAAGGGAGAGAGACAGAGAGTTAGAAACATCGATGAGAGAGAAACATCGATCAGCCGCCTCCTGCACATCTCCTACTGGGGATGTGCCCGCAACCAAGGTACATGCCCTTGACCGGAATCGAACCTGGGACCTTTCAGTCCACAGGCCGACGCTCTATCCACTGAGCCAAACAGGCTTCGGCCACATACTATTCTTTACCTTCTCTCTGACCACTGGTATCTCACTGGTCCATTTGTTACTGGTTTTATTTTGGCAAATATCTAGTACCCACTGAAAGGAGCTTTTAGGGGTGAAATAGGCAGGTTTAGCAAATTTTAGGAAGGGGTCCATGGAAAAAGCACAGGGCTACAGAGCTGCAGACGGGTACATTTCCATAAGATAAGGGAGCTGGGAGTAGAAGGTACATTTCTATAAGATAAGGGAACTGAGAGCTGCAGAAAGGTAGACATTTACAGAAAAAAGGGAAGGGAGCCCCTCATTCAGAGAGGGAAGAAGAAAGCCCAGGGGGAATAGGGAAACAATAAGGGAGAAGAAGGAGGGAACCTTAGTATACTTCACTTGAGGTTTGAGCTCTGGAGTTGCTATAGTAACCAATCTAAGGGGAGCAGTGACCAGAGGGGATATCAAGGCACAAAGATCTGTAGCCTTTATACGCTGAAGGAAAAGGGACTTAGTGGGACTCTTCCCTTCACCCCCATATGCTTGTTTCTCAATAAATTTCCACCTTTTGCTAAAGCACCTTTATTCCGTGGTTTCATTCTTCGATTCCACCAGACAAAGAACCCAAGAACCATCCTGCCTAGAGGAACACCGTGTGTTCCAGTCCAATTTTCCCGTATTACCATCACCATGCATGACCCTCAGGGTGTGTTCAAAAATTACTTTTATTGTATTAGTGAATCTCTTTTGTCACTGGCTTCATTAAAATTGACATTTTTTTCTCACTCTATTGCTATAGCTTCGTAAATATTCTCCCTTAATCTTGTTATTCCAAGATTAAAATCCTTCAGCGTTTGCCAGTCACCTTCAGAGAGATCAACCTAAGGTAAAGGATGATTCATGACTCGCCTCTCATCATCTACCACACTCTACTTCATGCAGCCTATGATTTTAGCCATGCTAAAGACATGTCTTGCTCATTTTCACATCTGTTGGTTGGAAATACCTTCCATCTGTGGAAAAAAACTTTCCACCAAACTCATTTCTCTTCTTCATGGACATAGGACTAGACCACGTTTCTCCCCATCTAAGGGTAATGTTTGAACAAGTTCTAGTCAATGAAAGTGAATGATATGTACCATTTTTAAGCTTGGCCCATGAAAATATCCCACACACATTCCCCATCTTCTTTTCCCCTCAGCCAGCTTAATGCAGATGAGTATGGCAAATCTGGAAGCTAATGAAAACCAAATAATAAAAGAAAAAATATATAAAGGTGCCTACATCCCCAAATCACTGCTTAAATAAGAATTCCATGCCAAGAAGAAAAAGAAAATATTTTTTACTTTTATGGACAAAAATAAATGTCAGCTATTTCATACCACTGAGAGTAGAGGTATAGAGTGGACCTCAGTTCTCAAAATTAATTCATCCCGGAAGGCTGTTTGAGAAGCTATTTGTTCAACAACGGATTCATTTTTTTCCCATTAGAAGTAATGAAAATTGAATTGATTCATTCCAGACCCCCAAATGATTCCATTTTAACCTTTCTTATATACAGTACCTGTCTAATGTACTGTTTAATCAATAAACAAACACTATTTTCTTAAGTTTATTGAACTACCCCTAGAAGCCTTAAATGAATCTTTTTCAGCAGTCATTCCAGGTATGTCTTTCAGGAGGTCAGCTGCAGCATCTTTGCTTTTCTGCATATCATTGCCCCTGAAATGCTGTCACTGGCAAACTCCTTTTCCTTTATCCAAATTAATAACAGTATTTCTACCTCTTCAATTGCCTCTGGCCATTGTTTCTTTCACACCTTTAGCAACATTAGCATTCTTGATAGACTCTTTATGTTTTAAAATTGTGCCAGCAACAAAAGAAAAAACACCCACAAAATACAAAAATATTCACAGCACAATTTGCTGAGATGTTAACAAGGCAAGATTGGGCTCTAAACACACTCACACTGGCGCATTCTCTCCTCTGTGGCCTGGGAGACACTTTTTGTTTTGCTGATGTATCAGCATGAAAGGGGTGTCAGGTCAAGAACCGGTTTTGTTCAACAACTGAGACATTTTTTCATTTTACAACTTGGTTGAGAACCGAACTGCTCAAGATGGGAGAGAACCGAGGTTTGACTGTATCTCTTATAGCTTCTAATTGTGAAGAGTGACGAGTGTGCAATTTTGCCCTACATGCAAGCTAACACGTGAGCCTGCCTTGGATGCTGACAAAAGGCACTGACTCCTAGGTCAGAAAGGAAGAAAACTTATTAACTCACAACAAATAGCAGTAGCTAGAGGATCAGTACTTGTGCTGATTCCCCAAGCCTCAACTCTCACCGAAGGAAGCAAAGTGGACCCTATGATGCTTGCACAGGCCATCAGTTGCATTCTAGGAAAAGAATTCCAAGCATAGACAACCTGAATCGTTAGTAATGTACAGTAAGAATATCTTCCTTGGCAACAGAGGTAGACATTATGTTTATTATGCCTGGCCCATGAGCATGCCTGCCTTTTGATTCAAAAGAAGACACTATCTCTATGATCCAAGGCTTTAAGCACGCTTACCCCTTGTTCCAGAAGTATAT